GATGGTGAGGAGGATGGTGAGGTTAAGGGCCCCTCAGGTCAGGTTTGGTGATATGAAAAGACTCTTTGGGTCAGGGGCAGGGTAGCTTACATCTGTAAGCTCAGCACTCTGAGAGACTGAGGTTGGAGGACCCCTGGAAGTTAGGAGTTTGAGACCAGCCTGAGCAAGAGTGTGAGACTCTGTTTCCTGTCTCTACACACACACATATACATATACTATACATACACATACGCACATAAGAAAGAAAAAAGAAAGAAAAATTAGCTGAACATGGTGGTGCACCTGTAGTCTCAGCTACTCAGGAAGCTGGGGCAGGAGGATCACTTGAGCTCAGGAGTTAGAGGTTGCAGTGAGCTGTGATGACACCACTGCACTCTAGCCCCAGGTGACAGAATGAGATCCTGTCTCAAACAAACAAAGAACGACTTTGCAGATCTGATTTTGAATGAGCTCAACTCAGTGGTTAGAGGGGCTGGGAGGAGGATGGGGAGATAGGGTACCCCACTGTCCTATGTTTAAAGAGGCTGAACTGTGCTATGGCTGTTGTTTACTTGACTGCTGTGGGAGGAGGAAGGGGTGGTGGTGTGACCCTGGGGCAGCAAGCCTCCAGTCCAGTTCAAAGACACTGTGGTGTGGCTACTGAGTGGAGTCCCAGACCTGAACAGTGTAGAGCTTGGATCAGAGCACAGACATCAGAAATCATTTGGTGTGTCTCCTTGGTGGCCCTCTGCAAAGACTTGCCCTGTGCTCGCAGGGCAGTGGAGCAGTGGCTGAGGGCAGAGTGTGGCAGTCTGCACCTCAGAACAGCATGTGTCCAGGTCAGGGTGTGGACTGAACGCCAGCAGGCATGTGGCAGAAGTAGCATGGGTGCACATCTGCCCACCGTAGAGGAAGGAGCAGGGAGGGAGAGTGCTGCCTGCTGTCCTGGCCCCTCTTCCCCACGGTTCCCTCATCTACTCTCTTCTCCCTCCCAGCCGGACAGTCTGGCAGCTGTTGGACTGTGGGGCTGTTGCTGTAGACTCTGCATCATGCACACCAGGCACCCCATGGTACAGTCAACTAATAGGGTTTGGGCAAGACTCGCAGTGCAGGTGACTTTTGGGCAAGGCCCTCCGGGCTGATTCCATAGACTGTTGGTGTGGCTTGCACTGCCTGACCCATAATTAGCATCAATGCTTTTTATACTCATGTTAACGCTTGACTGCAGGGACCAGCCCTTCCTTTTGACCCAGCATCTCAGGAGGAGAGGCTGTGTCCCAGCTTGAATGAGAGGCTTGGTAACTCCCACGCATGCAGGCCATTTCCTCTTGTAGCAGAGCCACTCCTGCCTGACACAGCTCCCAAGTAGACTGCTGAGAAAGGGCAGTGGTGAACCCCCACTCTCCTCTTCCTGAGGTGGATTGCCCTGCCTGTGGAGGCCATGCAGCTGTCTTGCCTGACATCCTTATTGGGGGAGAGCAGCTTAGATTCCAGGACCAGTTAGATTCCTGGCCAAAGAGGAGTGTTCTAGTCTAAGCTGAGACCTGCCTGGCCCTACCTGACAGGTAAAAAAGTAGTAGATACCTCTTGGGGGAAACTCCCTAACTCCACTGCTGCAGCCAAGCCACCCAGAGAGCCCCTCAAGCCCAGAGGTCCCCCTTCATGTCTGGGCTGGGCTCCTGGTGTTTGGCTGTGTCAGAAGCTGGTGGTGTCCATTGAGCAGTGATAGCCCATAAAATGGACTCTTGTGAATTTTTAACTTTTTAAAATTTTGAGTGAATTTTTGCTTAATATTACATATGCATGAACATATGTAAGAAAGAATAAAAGTTCTCTGTTTATTCAAATATAAAGGACAGTCAATGAAGCACATGTACTTACCATTTAAACTAAAGAAATAGAACATAATATTGAGGTATATGTAGTGTACAGTGAATTTTATCAATACAACATGTCCTACGGGGTCCCAGTTAAGGTGTTTTGCATTATATGTTTCTATGTTAAACCAGAGATACTCTTATTACTTTAAAAAAAGTTTTATTTAATTAATAAGCATTCAGTCATTCAATTTCACTCATTTTTTTAAGTATCACTTTAGGTATGTTTTATGTAGTTGAATTTTTGTTTTCTTGACCTAATTTGCATATGTGGTTATAGTAAATATATTTGGTTTTATCTTTTTCTCTTGTTTTTGCACTTTTATATTTTTGTTATGTTAATGTTTTGCTGAGCTTGTGGAGTCACTTCTCAGTCCTTTGAGAAGGACTAGTTAGGATGGTCTTGGGTGCCTGTACCCAACAGAGCCGTAAAAGTTTGAGTTCCTCTCTTCCCAGAAGTCCTCCTGCATACTCCAGTGGGTATGTATGGCTTCATGCCCCTTGAGGACAGGGAGAACTCTGCTTTACCTTAGTCATCATTTTTCCTCAAGCATCTGAGGTCAGACCTGGGGAGAGGCATGGAGAAGATGAATGACCCACACCATTAAGCAAGGTATCTTTCATTCTGCATTGCCACTCATGGTATAGCCAAACTTGTAATGTTTTTGATTTATGCAAGAGCTCTACATCCTCATTTCTGACACGATATATTGTGTCTCAGAACTCTTGACTGAGTAGCTGTACCATTGGGACCTCTTAGCTCAGCAGTTCTCAACCTGTGGGTCACAATCCCTTTAGGGGTGGAACAACCCTTTTCACAAGGGTTGCCTAAATACACCCTGCATGTTGTATATTTACGTTACAGTTCATAACAGTAGCAAAATTACAGTTATGAAGTAGCAACAAAAATAATTTTATGGTTGGGGGTCACCACAACATGAGAAACTGAATTATAGGGCTGTGGCATTAGGAAGGCTGAGAACCACTGTCTTAGCTGGTGTTGGAGCGCTTGCTGTTACATTGTGGCAGTAACATTCCTTCTTGCTTCTGCTCAAGGGAGAGGGAACAACGCCTCCAGTGGGTTCCATCACACACCCCTAGGCCTCTTGGCCTACAGATATGTGTCAGTAGGTAGTTTTATTTGGAATTTCTGCTTGTTTGAGTTTCTGCCACTTGGGTGAGAGTGTTCCTTACCAGGTCCAGGGAGTCTTCTCGTATCCTTTAACCCAACCTATGTGAGCCCTTATTTTCTTTTGTAGAAAGCCACGTCGTAGCTAGTCCCCCATCCTCGTTGTCAAAAACTGTTGGCAGTCCACAACTGTGAAGGGTCTGAAATTCATCCTGCTTGCAAGCTAACAAGTTATTCTGCCACTGTCAGGGATGCTTGTAGACATGAGCTTCCTGGGTCAGAGACAGAGGACTTTTTTATGCATAGCACAGCAAGTGCACAAGCTTTCTGCTGGTGCCCAAGCCCCATAAGGGCAGCCCCTATGGTAGGCTTGTGTCATAGCTAAAGAACCCTGGGCTTAAGAAACCCTTGGATTTTCAAGCAAATCTGCCCTTTGTTTGGAGGCAACATCATCATATTAAATAGTAAATAAACCTGAGAGAGATACTGTCTGACTTCCCAGGCTGTTTACTATACAGATGTCCTTGGGAAGACAGTCGCAAACAAGAACTGTCCTTGCCTCTGCTCATGAGATGCACAGAATGTGAAGATTTGTGGAACATTGTCTCTCAACATGTAGGACATATTTAGAGAAAATCAATTTGTTACAAATCAATTGTTACAAAGTAATGACTTTAGTAAAGTAGTAAGTAGTGTGTTTGTGACTGTTCCTGTTTTGTCTCACTTGAATAGTAGCTACTGCCACAACATCTCAGTGTCAAAACATAGGCTTGTTCATTCTATTCCTCCGACCACCCTTATTAACAAGAGACATTAAGGTGGGCTGGTTCTCAGTTTTGAGGAAGTATTTTAAACCTACCAAGGGCAGCCTTTTTGTAAGTCTGTGATGCTGTTGAAGGACCAGTAAGGAAAGCCTCTTCGCCTCTGAGGTTATTGTACCGTAAGGTGGGATGTGTCTTTGTGGTGTCAGGAATTCCTTTTCCTGTTTCTTCAATTGAAGAACTGGGCTCTGTTATTTAAATTCTATTGATTTCTACAATTCAGCAATTAGAAAAGAATATTTAGGACAAAATTGAAATAAGTGCATTTTAGATGTTTATAACTCATATCTTTAATGTGAAATGAAAGGTCACATGATTTATTGAGAAACACAAATGTATTTATAATTAATTTTGTTGTGTTAGGTATTGCAGACTAGAGCATTATAGTATAAAATGTCAGTAAGAGTCTATAGGTAAAGATTCAGTCATTTGATGACTTTTCAGGAGTATAAAGAAGTTTCTCTTACTACCTTGTCCTACAGTTCTTGTGTTTAAGTCTGCTGTACAGTTTGGTCCTGAGGGCAGATATGATTCCTCATTATATTCTAACCCTGTGCATTAGTGAAAATTGTATATAATGTGAAGAAAGGAATTATAAATAATTGATAAAAGTAACGTTCACAGCGTTTGTAATACTGGATTGCACTGCTTGTTCCTTGGCGGCACACTAGGGGGCGCCTGAGGCCACACGGAGCCACCGAGGGGCTGGTGCCCGCGTCTGTGCGCTGTCTGCCGCAATTAGCCTTACAGTCTCTCAGTTTGAATCACATGTAGAAATTCGGTGGAAAGTGTTAGGAAAGTCGTTGTTAAAAATGGTTCTGAACTAAGAAAATGCTGTGAAGGCTATGTTAACCAGTTTGAGGAAAATATTTCAAATTGTATATAAAACCAGCACATTATACCCCATGGTTACGTTAATGTACACAGCTATGATTTAATTAAAAACCGGAGAAAAATGGTTCTGTACATGTTTTTATGAAGAATGTTTTTATATTTTATCCAAGATTAATAGTATTTTCCATAATTTTGAAAAGAAAAGTCAGTCTAAACATTGTAAATTTTAAGCATTTATTGTTTTTTTCTATTATAAATACAAATTTCCCCACGTTCCAAAAGATATTTTATGCTTTCATAAACTTATTGTTCATGAGAGAAATAAAGTACTAAAATAATCTCTCTCATTATATTTTTCAGGGAATCCGAGCACGCATTTTAGAAACTCTGGTCATGCTAGTCCTTCTTGCATTACTGATTCTTGGGATAGTGTGGGTAGCTTCTGCCCTCATTGACAATGACGCTGCAAGTATGGAGTCTTTATATGGTACGGATTCACTTAAACCAGTTTCTATAATGGAAACTGTAGTTTGGGGTATAATTACAGATTCAGTTTTAAAAGTGTATCAATGACTCTTTTTTAGTTACCCTTCATGTTAATTTATAGAATTAAGAGGTTTTCAGATATGTTTATGAAAAGAAATGAATTTTCATTTCAAATGTATAGAATGACTAAGCAACTTTTTGGATTTTTTTTTTTGGTTCATGAGTTTTAATTTTTAAATTCCATGGAGACTTTTTGTTTTTCTCTCTGCAAATATGTTCTACAAAGTGGTTATTTCCTCTTCTTCTATTTTAGATCTTTTTATTGTACATTTTAGAAATTATGTGGTTTAGTAGACTCAAATAGGCAATTATGATGTTTATTATACACTAAGATATAGTCAGCATATATCTTAATACAGACCAACTACATCTTAATATGTAATATTTAGGTTTATTAAAAGATATTTCCTCTTTTTATAGATCTCTGGGAGTTCTATCTTCCCTACTTATATTCCTGTATATCATTGATGGGATGTTTGTTACTTCTCTGTAAGTATTTTTCTGACTTAATATTGATAGGAAAGTAGAATTGTCCTGTATTCTGGAAAATTTTGGGGAAAGTTTTCTCATGAGATTCCCTAACAACTTGGGAGATTTTTTTGCATTGGCCCTAACATTTTTTTTTGTTGTTGTTCAAAATAATTTTTTTTTTTTGTAGTTTTTGGCTGGGGTTGGGTTTGAACCTGCCACCTCCAGTATATAGGGCTGGTCCCTACTCCTTTGAGCCATAGGCACCACCCTCAAAATAAAATTTAATAAACAGAAACTTTGAAATAATGAGATACTTTTGTTGTTCTCTAAGGAAGTCCTCATCCCTGGTTTAGATCTAGAGAGAGAGATACATTCACACACACACACCACATGCTCACACACTCCCACACAAATACCTTTCTTCTCCCCCTACCCCATCACAATGCTGGATTTAACATTAATTTATCAATTAATTAATTAGACAGAGTTTTGCTCTGTAGTCCAGGCTGGCACGCAGTGGCATGATGATAGCTCAGTGTATCCTTGAATTCCTGGGCTCAAGTGATCCTCCTACCTTAGCCTTTCAAGTAGCTCAGACTACAGGTGTGCTCTACCACTCCTGGCTAATTTTTGTTTGTTTTTTTGTAGAGATAGGGTCTTGCTGTGTTGGCTAGACTGGTCTCAAACTACTAGGCTCAAGCCATCTTCCCACCTTGACCTCCCAGAGTGCTGGGATTACAGTCATGAGCCATCACACCCAGCTTAGGTGGTGCTTTTAAATAGAAATGGTAGAATTCCATATGATGAATTTGTGGTTTTGATTTCAAAATTTGTTTTGTTTTACTTGCAGCATCACAACCTGTCTTAGGTAAATGTAGTTCAAAGGACTTAAGACTATAGTTGTTACTTTTAGATATTCTTGTCTGGTTCTCAGTTTTATTAATACTTGAGATTTAATCTGTCCTTTACTTGGTTTTCTTTAACTTCTTTTAAGCAAAGTGTTTGTTACTGTTCAACTACTGGAAGCCTGAATATCCAAATCATCTTTTGTCTTCACGCATCCTTTGTTGGCTGTAGTAATGCCCGTCCTCACACTGCCGCTCTGGCTTTGTTACTGATGAAATTAAACAGTGCTCTGACAAACACTGAGAATATAAATTGGAGACAAAAATATAATAATAATAATCTTTGACCTGTCTCTACTTTTTATGGACAAGTTGTTTATCTCTCCTAGCTCTGAAATACAGTTTCTCTCTGTTGGTGATCTTATTTCTGCAGTGTGTACACCAGTTGGCCTTTCCCGTATGTTCACAGTGATGGGTCAGTTGCTAGTGAAGCCAACAGTAAGTATTTCATGATGAATCATTTTGTTTTTTAAATAAATATGTTTATATTTCAGCATCTTTTAGACTGTGTGCTAGCATTTAGAAACATAAGAATATATTTATAGGTTTACCACTCAAATTGGTTTTTTAAAATCATTTTCATCTTTGGCAATCAATTTTGGTTTTGCTTTTAAAATATTAACTATAAGCACACAGTAAAACTTTTTCTAACAAATTTTAAGACACAAATTTCTTGTATTTGCAGGTATTTTAGTTGTTCATTGCCTTATATCAAATAGTACCTCTATTATGGTTCACAATGTACCCACACATGTGCTTTGGTTTATAAGCAGTTATGTTTCTGAAAATTTGTCTGCATATTTTATTTTGATTAATTGAATTATACTTTTCCTTTAATCCCATAAATACTGTATATTCACTTAAAAATGATTTTCCATTGGCAGTAATTGTAATGATTTAGCCCTAAGTTTTCTTTGGTTTCTATTTTGTCAGATACTCAGTAATATAAAAATAATTTCTTACCTGTGCCAAGGGAATTTGTCATTTAATTTCTGTTCATGGATCCTTATTGTGTACTATCTCAAATATAAACTACTTATATGTTACAAGGTCTCTCATAGCCTGTCCCACACATGTCCCCCATGCCTTTCCTGGGCTGCCTTATCAGCCAGTGGGGTTGCTCTGAATAGGCTCTGCATGCTCCTTTTCCAGGGGGATCTGTGTGTCCTCCTCCAGCTGCCTAACAGCCTCCTCTGAAGACCCAGCTACTACATATCTTTGAACCTTGGCTCACTTCTTTGAGTAAAAATAATTAAACTTCTTTCCCTGCATCTTCCCCTTTGTTTGTCTCACTAGTGATGCTTATTCAGTCCTGTGGCCATGTGTTTGTCTTCCCTGTCACAGTGATTTACTCAGGGACGATACTGGGGAGATGTCATATGGGTCTTCTTTTAGTAAACATTTGCTTAATTTTGAAAGTCATAATCATTTCATCTTCTTTTTAAAGTAACATTACTTTATAGCTCAGCACCTGTAGCTCAGTGGCTAGGGCAGCGGCCACATGCCCCAGAGCTGGCCAGCTCAAACCCGGCCCAGGGCCTGCCAAACAACAATGACAACAACAACAACAAAATAGCAGGGCTTTGTGGCAGGTGCCTGTAGTCCCAGCTACTTGGGAGGCTGAGGCAAGAGAATCACTTAAGCTCAAGAGTTTGAGGTTGCTGCGAGCTGTGATGCAATGGTGCTCTACTGAGGGTGACATAGTGAGACTCTCTCTCTTTCAAAAAGAAACATTTAATTTATAAAAATACATAAATACATTTTATGAAAAATATGTGAATGTATATATGCTCAAGTATAACACACAGGCAGTCAAATCTTAGAATTCACTTTCCTCTTAGAGAAGTTTTGTGACATTGCATTCATTTAGTTTCTTCTTACTTATCTGGGTTTTTTGATACTTTGCTCCATTTCTACTTCCTGCCCCTTAAATATAGATAAATATTTAAACTTCTGTTGTACGTCTGAAATGCTGTTAGTGCTCTGCTGTGCGCGCCTGACCATGTCTTTGCACATCACTTCTAAATGCATGATTCTAATGAGCAGAAGACAATGGAAGCAAATTACAGCAACTTGGAAGTGCTATAACTGAATGTCCCAGGAAGCCGAAAGCTCTACTCCCCAAATTAGTTTTTCTCCCACATTTGTCTCTTATTATCAATATCTCAAAGCCTTAGTTATCTTTGCTTCTTTTCTTGTTCCTAGCATCTAATAATAAAGGTTATCTATTGAGTAATTATACTGTATGCTAATGATAAACACTATGTTTTACACACACGATTTTATGTCATCCTTGATTACAAACCCATAAGGTAAGTAGTGGTATTCTTATTTTACAGTTGAGTTAACCCCAGTTCAGGAAGACTAAGTAGCTTGTATGAGATCGCAGATTTGTGAGATGGAGCAGGGTTTGAGCCCAGGCTTTCAGCTACTGTTGGTGCTGCTATAATCCACAGAGATATAGAACTGCTTTCCTGCTGAGTTGCCATTGTACCTCTCCCCCTCTGTGTTTTGCTTATAGTTTCCTCTGATTGAAATGTCCTGATTCCTTGTAGTAATTTAAGCAATCAGGTAAGATACTACTAGCATCAAGAACACTGACCCAGCCAGGTGTGGTGGTGCACACCTGTGGTCCCAGCTACTCAGGAGGTTGAGGTGGGAGGATTGCTTGAGGCCAGGAGTTCCAGATCAACTAGAAACATAGTAGACCCCATCTTTTAAAGCAAAAATATAGGGAATTTTGAGAATATGGTTGACTAATAGCAGCACTTGGCAGAGGCTCCTGATCAGAGGGAGAAAAACTAGTCAGAATCGGACTCTATAAACCAAAGAGTGAGGAGCCAAGCCAAGAAAGAAGTTCTGCAAGCTGTGACTCCAAGGAAGAACATTCAAGAAAACAAATTACAGGTACAAAGCCTATTGTCTAGAGGACAGAAGACCTATCCCCCAAGTGAGAGGCTCACTGTGGGCTCTCTGTAGGCGAGCAGGGGACAAAAGACCTCTCATTTTATTTCACTGGAGAGAGTTGCTAAACACTGGGTCTCCTTCTCCAGGGAGGTCCCACTTGTGAACCTAGACACCCCACCACCAGGCATAAAATTGAACACATATTTTCTCCACAGTTCCGAATTCCCAGTCCACCCTTTCTGCCTTGCACAGTGGTCTGAGGTTCTATCCCCTGTAGAGCTCAGAGTGTTTGGCCTTTTTCTGAGGGATCTGGGCATAGTGTGGACTGATGAACATCAAGACAGAATCTGTGACGAATGGGGAAGAAGGAGGGTCTGGGAAAAAAAGGGCATGTGGTGGGGGAGGAACAGTTCCCTGGTTATGACTTTGCTAGGCCAGGAGCAGTTCCCTGGTTATGACTTTATTGACCCCTGGTTCAGGCTGTGTCTGGTGGGAGGGAGATCAGAACCCCTGGCTGTTATGGTGCCTGTAAGCAGGAGAGTGGCTGCCTGGTGTGGACTGAACTCAGCAGGTGGAGTGAGGATCCCTAGTTCTAACTGAGCTGGTGAGCAGAGGCTTGCCTGTGAGTGTGGACTGAGCCCGGCAGGCAGGATCAAGGATCCCCTGCTCCACCTGAACCAGGGAACAGAGGCTCTTTGAGTGTGGACCGAGCCAGGCTTACAGGGCATGATCCCTAACTCTAACTCAGCCAGAGAGCAGAGGCTTGCCTGTGGGCACGGTCCCCTGGCTCCAAGTGAGCTGGTGAGCAGAGGCGTAAATCCATGCTGTGAATTGAACCTGGTGAGTGGGGTCCCAACTCCCGACTTTTATTGTGCCTGGGGGACAGGGGTATTGACACCCAGTGAGGACTTTGACAGGCAATTTGTGCCTCACCAGAAGGGACCGGGCAACATATCCTCAGGGTTGCAGGACAGAACTAAGGATTTCTATCCGCAGTTCTAGACCCTTGGATCCCTCTCTGTTAAGTAGGGTTTATGCTGCCTGAGACAATTCGATTGGAACTCGCGTCTGGGCCTGTCCATCTGGGGACACTCTGAGGTTGACCGTCAAAGTTCTGTAGTGGAAAAGAACTGAATGGTGGGGGCAGGGCACTGCAGCTGACTATATCTGTCCCCAGCTGAGATTTAAACCTAATACCATGACTTTTTAGGACAGGGTAGAGGTTGGCTGATTTCAAAACAGAGCTAGCTTCCACTGTCTCACCAAGTAGGTCCCCAGAGTCTCTGATTAAACTCTGGGGCCTTTGTAAGGTTGTAGGGATAAGCCACAATTACAAAGCCTAGCACTTTGGTAAGGGGCTGATTATCTCTACTACCCAGGATCCCCAATTCAATCTCACCTTACTAGTTTTAACAACCAAATGGTAGAAAATAAATGAGGGGAAACCAATGGGAGAACTCTGGCAACATGAATAACCAGAGTAGATCAGCCCTCCTCAAAGAGTGACAAAGGCGATATAACTGAAGATGCAATGCATAGACAAATGTCTGAAATGTTAGAAATAGAATTCAGAATATGGATGGCAAATAAGAATAGAATGGAAGAAAAATTAGAAATTAAAATCCAAAGAGTAGTTCTAAAGTTGTCTCAAGAAATTAATGAATTCAAAGACAAAGTCACCAAAGATATGGAAATAATGAGAAAAGATATAGCAGAGCTCAAGGAAATGAAAAAGTTATTCAAGGAGCTCTGAAATATAGTAAAATTGCTCAGTAATAGAGTGGACCAGGCCGAAGAAGTGAACTCTGAAATTGAAGACAGAGCACTCAAAGAGGCAGACAAATGGAGAGCAAAAACTGATCATTCCCTGAGAGAGTTGTGGGATCACTCCAAAAGATCAAACATTTGTCTTATAGGAACTACTGAAGGAGAAAAGGATGGTCCTAAAGGTACAGATACTCTACGCCAACAGAGTACAGAGGAGAATTTTCCAAATCTTGGAAGAGATACACAAATTCAGATAGTAGACAGCTTAAGAACCCCAGCAAGACTCAATCCAAATGAAGCATCTCCTAGACATGTTGTGATTAATTTTACCAAAGTTAATATGAAGAAGAACTTGCTGCAGGCAGCCAGATGTAAGAAAAGTATTACCTACAAAGGGGGAAATATTTTTCCATTTGTTAACATTTTTGGCTGTTTCTTTTCTTAGAGTTTCATAGTTCTCTTTATATAGATCTTTCACATCCTTTGTTAAGTATACCCCCAAATATTTCATCTTCTTTGGTACTACTTTAAACGAGATGGAGTCCTTGACTGTTTTTTCAGCTTGGCTGTTGTTGGTATATATAAAGGCTACAGATTTTGTATCCTGATACGCCACTGTATTCCTTGATCACTTCTAAGAGTTTTTTAGTTGAGTCCCTGGTGTTTTCCAGATATACAATCATATCATCTGCGAAAAGTGAAAGTTTGATCTCTTCTGTTCCTATATGGATGCCCTTAATTGCCTTTTCTTCCTGAATTGCAGT